GTTTTTTCTTCTTCTCCTCTTATAATATCTTCTGATTCACTTCGTTGCGGGAACCAAGACAGTTACTCATGTCCCTGGGACGCTCCGGACTTCAGTGTTCTGGTGTTTTCATAGTTGTATCTACTGTAGATCCTGGCTTACAGGAGTTGCAGCGGTTTTGGGAGGTTGTGGCGGGCTTGTCCCAAAAAAAAAGAGATAATAATTTCTTCAAAATTCTGCACACATTTTGAGATTACTGTTTTCTTCGTGATTGCTTTTGGTGTTGATGTGGTCCTGAGGATTTCAACATTATTAGTATTTAATTAATTTAGATGTAAGGGCTGTATCATTATAATATCTTAAAAAAATGAAGATAAAAGAAAATCCCTAGTTATTCAATGAACATTAAATACAAGATCACAATAACAGCAAATAAACGACAACAATAACATTATGTCTCACCAAGAACATTATATAAAATCTAAGAGCCAACAATCCTACTACACCGAATGGTTTTTTCTAATACCGGTTTGTCAACATATCTATAACAATTTGGCCGAGCGCCTACATTGTCTCATCGAAGATACCAGGTACCTGCTCTAGATCTTAGTTTTTCCTAGTTTTCAAATAAATAGGCCTAGATTCCTGAAAAGGTTAAAGGATGGTACGGCAGTGATTGTTTCGCTTTCGACTTGGAGAGGGCGCTGACGAGTCCTCAGATATTTTAACGGAAAATAAATAAGAGTTCGCATAAAACTGTGAGCACAACCATCAACAAAATTCAATAAATTTTCGTTAGTAGGAAGGATATAAGTTATCAATTTACAACAAGATAATAAATACTTAGTACTTAAAGCGAACAAACATTATAGAGTGCAGGCGCTGCCTGGTAAGTAACTGCGCAGAGAAATAAATTGAGTGCACGAATAAATCAGGCGTAGACGCAATCACGGCTTCCACCAAGAACTGAAGGATATCTCCCACGTGTGCGCTTCCAAAGGATTTACAGCCTTATTCTGTAATAGCCACAGACTTCATTATGCCATAAATAGTCCTTAAACACCTTCATAGCCGTCAGAATTTGTATTAAGTGGCCCCGAGTGCACGATATTTATGTGTTTAATCTTTAAATTCAGCTTAAATGACTCTTTCATTACGGTAATGTGTTTTGTTATTTATGACGGATCAACTAAGTTTCGAATATATGAAGACAGTTATTACAAATGAATACAATCATACTTAAGATTAACCATATAATAATGCAAATCAATAATGGAAAAAGTGATGAATTATGACACCTACGCGATATCAGACCTTATACACATACCTTATCCTAGACCATTGCCGGCAACGTGTTTAAATAGCTTAGTGGAAGTCAGGTGCCTTCCAAGTCACCACCCATCCCACCCACCCATCTCTCCTACATTTCTTTGCAGACTATCTACGCAATCGACAACAGTTTGTCAAACTTGGTGTGTACGTTTCGGGAGCCTATCATACGCGTTCTGGTGTAAGTCAGGGCTCAATTTTGGGGCCTTTGCTGTTTCTTATCATGGTCAATGATTTTCCTCAAATTCTACTTCATGCAAAATGCCTCTTATACGCAGATGATCTGAAACTATACTTGGAAATAAACTCTGAGTGTGACAGCTTGGCACTACAGCAAGATATTGATGCAGTATACAAGTGGAGCGTGGATAATAAGATGGAATTTAACTCATCCAAGTGCTATGCTATGACGTTTTGTCGAAAGCGGAACCCAATTAACTTCAATTACAGATTAAATAATTGCAGTATTACAAAGTCGACAATCATGAAAGACCTGGGAGTCACATTTGACCAAAAACTAACTTTCCATGACCATATAACCACTATAGCAAAGCAATCCTTCCAAAGGTTAGGTTTTGTTTTACGTAATTGTCGTGATTTTCGCACCGCTCATGCCATTAAGATCATATTTAATGCTCTGGTTCGTAGTAAGTTGGAAACCAGCTCGTGTGTGTGGAATCCTCACGAAAGTACCTACTCCCTACTCTTAGAGAAAGTTCAAAAAGCTTTTCTTAGGAATTTGTACAAGCGAATGCACGGTTACTATCCCTACCTCTATCCGACAAAATTTTTATTGGGTAGTCTTGGATATAACTCACTAGAGGTAAGGAGAGCAAGAAACCAACTTGTAGTAGTCTGTAAAACCCTCCGTGGCGCTATTGACGCTCCGGACATACTGGAGTCACTATCACGTTTTTACGTTCCAGACAATTACTGCCGGGGTAAAAAGCACAGATTGTTTGCCGTGCCCTCATGTCGTACGCACGTGATAAAGCACCGATTCCTCGCACTCTGGCCGCGCTCAATGGTATCTTGGATTCCAATCCAACTAGTGATCTGTTTGCGGACGGATGGAAGGAAATTTTATCGGAATGCCTGAAGTACTGCGAGAGGAACTTATGAATGCTACCATTTTTTAAATAAGTTTTACTCTTCTGGTTTGTTGTGTATGTTTTGTTCTAGTTTTATTATTTCATCGTTTATTTTATTAATGTGTCCAGTTACTTTAATTGGTTTTTGTTATCAACCGTTGTGACTGTAATAAATAAATAAATAAATAAATATAAATAAATAAAGTCACGATACTCGGGTTCAATCCTCGGCCCGAATGTTTCTTTCCCAGCACAGATGGGGCTCAGTAGGGCTAATGCCTAACGGGTTGCCAGGGCTACAGCTCGAAGCGCAGGAGTAGGAACGGGGTAGTTTTTAGTCAGTAAGAGTCTAACAGTTCCTGTCGCCTAACCTACTATGTGATTCAAACTTTAAATCTTTTACAATCTAACAGTACCTATAGAGGTACGAAAACTAAGACACTGAATAGATTTTGATCAAATTTGATACCTTCTGCCATACATAAAAATAGGCGTTAGAAAAGGTTAGGCCTATTATTAATCCACGCCAACGTAGCCGCGACCGAATATTTGTATAGTATAAAAAAATCCGTATAGCAAAGAATTATAATAAAGTCGATGTGTAAAAACATTTCCAATCATTAAGTGAGAATAGAGTAAACGGTTAACTGACAGGGAAACGCAACGCTTTAAATGTGATTCGGATCCCAACGGAAATTACTTTTTTCTGCAATTTTCTTCACAAGTACTTGTTTATTTTAGGTTATTTATTGTTGAGTTTGTTCGAATGATTTTCTTTTTAATGGATTTGCTGTCAACCAATCACTACCCGATAAACGAGTGTTGTATACAAAGTCTATCCGGCAAATTAATCGCTTTGAAATACCTTAGATGGTTACATCAATAAATAGAAAATTATTTACTTGTCTAATGAAATACTAACACCGGAATACTGACTGGCTACTCAATTTTAAGTTAACTAAGAATAGTTCTGTCACTACAAACTCTTTGCAAAATTACAAAGATGGCACGACATTTAAGTACAAATTTAAATTAGATACCTTAAATTTGTATTCAACCTAAACTATCTAATAAGATTAATTTATAGTCTTCAAAAAATATCTAAGAATCCGATTCACGACATCAAAACAAGCAAAGCACAACTACAGGATTTGTTCCAGCCCATACTCGCTGACGATCCGACACGTACAGAATAGTATGTTCAGATTGTTCAGTAGGAGTTATAGTTCTGAGTCGGCGTCACGTGCCACTACAAACCACCCACAGGAAAGCTCGGCTCACACTGAGGAAGTGTTTGTACCCTCAATATGCCCATGTTCACCAGTAAGCACTTGATTTTATGCTTGCGAACCAAGCACACTGTTATTCGTAATAAATAATTCAACTTAACAACATTTAATATAAAAAGTACGCGAATGCGACGCCTGTTCGTTGTTGCTCATTAATATGATTTTAAACCCCTGATGTTGCTTGAAACTGTATAATATTAATTATTTTAACAATCCAATTTAAGTAATTTATTGTTACATCTAATAAATAAACCACTAAATCGGTAAGCTCCAACGTAATTATTCTAAGTAAAACCTAATTCTTTAGAGAATTAAGTTCTATAACGAAGCAAACTTTAATAATAAAAATCCAGGTAGAAAAAATATTTATAAAATATTACGTTTCAAAGTCATTAGGTTTATGAATGGCATTGTCCATCACGAAGTATTAAAGTTCAATGAAAAATATTGCTTTAAACCTGATTGCTTTTCGAACAATACCAAATACTTAGGTATTGATTTTTTCTTTTCAACATAATTATTGTTGGACGTAATGAATCGAGTCTGAAATTGTTATGCTTACTTCTAATTGATTGCATATATTTGTATGTATACAACATGTAACTTAAATAACGCACATCCTGAAAATAGTTTGTTCAGAATCGTTAACTGAATCGATTTATATAATTTATAACATAATAGGTATTCTAATTGGGGTGTTTGAGGGTGTGCGTTAATTACGTTACATGTTGTATATACATATGTATATTTTGTCATGTGTGTCGGAGAACCGGTCGTTATGCCTATGACAACTCCTTAATCATAAGTCATAGCGATAGGTTGCTTTGTTTATTTTAAGTTCTCACTCAATTACAGGTGACGTGATCATTGGTATGCTTACCAAACAGTTCTTAGTATTATTATAGAGGACGTTGTTTTGTTACGTACTTATTAGTAGACACTAATTTGTATGTTTGGAATGTGACACATGTTAGCATTGTTAAGACAAAAACAGTTAAGGACGCGATGCTTGCAAAGACAAAGAGGTTTTTAGGGACGCTATAGGAACCGCTGATACAGCAAAGGAGCAGGCAGAGATTCCTTGCGTGTGACGTCGTTACGCGATCACGCTCATCTCTTAAGATAATTCTAAATGTCAAACAAGTGTATATATTAATATTGCCATCTTACATTACTTTACTGACTGTTATCATTGTGAATACAATATTGTAATATGGACAAACTGTATAGTTCTAATTATTATCTACCGTTTCCCGCGACGTGTCCATTTTTTTAAGTTAGGTATATTAGGTACATAATTATATAGACAAGATTTTCAGTAGATATTGAAATATTTAATTTATTTCGCTGCTTGAGATTTCATCGATTTTTGTTTTCAATTTAAAGTACTAGCTCAGTAGTCGAATCATTTTGCCTAGGTGAACATATTATACTATAAATATCGACAATCCAGAAACTCATGTAAGTGTGGGAACTTCTCTCCCACACTTACATGAGTTTCTGGATTGTCGCATTGCTTTGGCACAAATGGGCCGGCTCGATCGGATACCACGGCCTCACAGTAAACCGACATGGAACATAGCTTGCGTTTTACTTCGTTGTATGAGTGAGCCGAAGTTACCGGAGATAAGAGTAAGAGTAAGTAGGAGTAAGATTTTTATTTGAATAATCTACCAGACGGACAATAAAATACGAATTAGTCATCTACCCTATTACTAACTATCGTTTTTGGGAATAAAATAACACGATTGCATTAGGTTTTTGTTTATGCAAACTTAATTTAAACAACAATAATTTTAGGACGATTCGTCCAAAACGTTTGGATCTTCTTTCACCGCCATTCTAAGTTGAGAAATGAAGAAATCGTATTGTGACGTTAATCTGTAGTTAGCCCTAAATACTTCGCAATGTTTTAAGAACACAGGGTACAAGTGCCTTAAGAGAGCATGATCTAATGTTGGAAATAGGTGATGCAATGCATGGTCTCCAAAGAACGTCATCACTTTAAAGAAATTATCGTTAATGTCGTTGCGGTCCATAACAGCTTCAAGCTCGTGCATGCCCCAGTCTACAGTCTTTTCTCTGAAAGTGAAAAATATTCTTGATCAATATCATACTTATCGTTTTGCCAACAAGACTTCACCAATTAAAATTTAATTGCTAACAAATCCTCTATTCTAATGTTTGTTTAATAAAAATTACCGTTAAACTTACTTCAACTGGTCGCCATCTTTAAAAATATTTGGATGATGATGAGCAGCGTTAGATCCAATGGTAAAGAAGATGAAGCTTCCAGTGCAGTTAATCCATAACCAGGTAATGAAGGCGTGGTAGAAAGTGCAGCCACTTGCAAGGTACATCCAGACTGGAAGAAGGAGACCTATGACGTCATGCCACCTGTAGTGGCGGGTGAAGAAACCCTTACGGATGAAATTGCTGATAAACCTTGAAATAGAAAAATGTTATTTGTAAAACTTAGTATGTCGTGAAATGATTATACATTTTTTGCCGTACATATATACACTACATATATTTTTATTGCTGTGCAAAATACTAATGGATTTCGTTAAACAGAAAATGAATGACCTTCAACCTAGAAATATTTCTTTTTCACGCCAAAACTACACTAAGAACGAGGACTGGTATGATGTCCACCTGGATTTCACGAATAATATTGACCGTTTCGGTTCTGAAATTCTCATAGGCGACATAGAATCAAACTATACTTAGTATAATGTTTTTCTCCAATTATGGGACTGATTACCATGGTATCATGAAATTCAATTACAAGTGAGTTAGTATTACATAATACAATATTATTTACCTCTTTATAAAGTTTAGTATGAACAAAAATGGAAACACAACAGTTTCTATCAGTAGAGTGAACTTTGCAAACACAGGCTTTTTCCTAGGAATCCAAGTCACAATGGGCTCGAAGCCACTGATCTCCAAATCAATCAAGGTATTCGGGTAAACATGATGAGAGAGTGCATGTGAAACTCTGAAGTCCCTGTAACAATGTTCGTTGAAAAAATACACATTTGAAGTCAGTTCTTAAACAATACCTATGTGTATAACTAATGGTGTCACTTGCCTTAACACATTTGATAGACATAAAACAAAGAAATCAGTTTAAAGGAATTAAAAAGAAATCATTTAAATCTAAAAACTTTTCTGCATTAATATAACTATCATCGTATAGCTCACTTAATATCTATTATTATGTTATTTTTAAAACAAAGAATACAATTATTTAATCAAAAGGTCGTGGCTGATAAAGCTGATAAAGTTTTGTTTTAATAAACAAAATTAATAATCAATAAACCAAAATAAGACATTATAATTAATGCCATGATTATTTTTATACTGTTATCTTATTGTCAACAACTACAATTATTTACAGATTCAAAAAGCGTAAACATAATCCATAATAATACATAATACAAGATTCAATACATAATCTGAGAAAACTTTTAAATACTTTCATATTTACCTGTAGGACCATAAGCTTAAATTAAAAAGATACATCCTCCAATTAGTCTTCATGTGAATGTAATTATGGGCCGCGACCGTAGTCCACGCTAGAGTGAGAGATGCTACTAAATAAGAGACCATCACAACCCAGTAATTTGTGGCCCAGCAAGACAAAGCCGATGAAAATAGTAACGTTCCAAAAAGGCCATCAATGATCAAAGTGGATCGTTTTCTCTCAGATGCTGGAATTTTCTTTAGCTCTTCAGCTACAGACCGTTTTAAAGTCCTGTAAAAACCATCTTCTTCAAATGTAAATGGAGAGTTTCTTGGAGTTTTAGCATCTCTAACATAGTATTTGTCTTTAACTTTTTCCACCACAGGATTGAAATGATGGCACTCAAATGCTTCTGTAATGTCAGTTCCCTGCAAATCAATGTCTGTTGTTAATCATTGTCATAGACGTAGATAAATCCTCTGTTTTAAATTATTATATTTAATATTGTATCTAGCATAAATTATTCGCTTTACCTTCATTATATTTTTTACTGTAATTATTCAAATTGCTTTTATCCCCAAAGAGGTAGGCAGAGGTGCGTATTACTGTACTTGATGCCACTGTACAATATAACACCCACTTTTCACTATTTATGTTACGAGTCCCATGTAATAGGGGGGCGAGCCTATTGCCATGTACCATAATTCCAGACGCCGTGCTACTACTGAGATTTTTTTAAAACCTTGTTTAACTTTGCCCGACCCGGTAATTGACCCCGAGATTCCTTGCCTAGTAGTCGCACTTGCGACTACTCAGTTTTTCAAAGCCCTTATGTAGAATTGAAGTTAAACTAAAAGACGTTAAAAATTTGACATGTAAATATCTTACTTACTTTAGCAAGTTCCAACCACTCAGCGCCACCAGGATGTTTTTCTAAGAATTCGGAGAAATCATAAAGAGAGTTCCGTATTCTCCATAAACCTTCTGCACCATCATCCATTGCTTTTCCTTCCAACCATTGTACGGGGTCCCTCAACCCTCCATCTCTAAGCGAGGGATACTTTAATTGTGGGAAACTAACATGTGTTTTCTTCTCTGCTGCAGTTTTATGAGCCCACTCAATATAACTCGAATCTTTAGGAGCCATTTTAATAAACAATTATATTGAACGATTTTTTTTATTTTTGGTATTCACTGGTATATTTGTGTTCACTGTCCTAACTGTAGTGCCAGTTTAAATCTGAGATTGGATTCTCGCCTCGTCTTATATCAATTTGCTTTTGTAATCGCTGGAATATTTTCCTTACAAAACATAAATATTATAGATTTGCTTATCGACCCGAATAAAAATAAAACAATAGGTAATGCTTTTTTTGGTGTGCAGAAGACAGCAACACATTTTGAAACAATAATTATTAATAATGAAAGCAATTTAGGCATATAGAGGTATACCTCAGATTTATTGCATCCCTGAATATGGCACTTTTAACCAATTTCGTTAGGGACCGACACTAGTACTTGTAATATACTTTGCCGGTCCAGTTGCTGGTCAGGAGTCCCATACGACCAGTCTTCTTTTTTTGACTAACCTTTACGCACATTAACGTAAGCTTCGCATAGCACTGATAACACACCTTCGAATTGTAGAGGTACCTATTTGGTGATATTTTTACAAATCGTATTAACCATTTCAAATAGAAAATTAAAATCACGGAATATTTAAATAACTATGGTATACATTACGTAGTAAAGTTAGGTTTATTTCATTCAGTAGCTGCAATATTTCGATGTTAGGTAATTAGGTGCGAGTCCGTCTGGCAAGTGATGAAGTTGTTACACCAAGCTTAATGGACTGTCGCCTTCTAACTAGCTAGTTTAGAGATTGTAATTTAAGATGAACATTAAATTTTCGTACTGGAAATGTAATATTGATATTCCATGTTTGAGGAACCTTTCGAAATGAAGTAGTTGCAAATGACTAGAAACATTAATTTGCTTTTAGTTTTAGTGTAAAATTGAATAAGGTGAACCAATTTTTGCCATGCTCCAATGAAATCATAATGCTATTTGATGGAATTACTGCCGCCAAATATCAAAACCGTCACTCGCACTTTGCTGATATTGTTCGAATCCTAGACTTATGTGGGTACATAGCTTTTGAAGTGAAAGTCTAGGATTTATACTTCACTAAAACTGATGGTCACCATCTACAAAAGGACTACCAGGTCCTCTTTGCAGAAAAGAATTGAGTATAAATGACTTTGATCTTTGATCTAATCTAACCTAACCAGACCAAATTTGAACCTACATTTTCTGTTCATACTGCATGCCCCTCAACAAACAGTGTTATTGTTAGGAAAAGTTGATTGCGATAATTTACTGACTCTTGATAAGCGAAGTCACGGCGCAAGTAAAAGGTCGCGGTTATCATCATACAACTATATTTGTATGACAAAACATTCATAAGTACATTGATAGTAATTAACTATGTATATATCCAATGAATATTAATTAAAATTTCATATCTTATTTTTTACCGTTTTCCAATATAAATACTAAATCAGCTAGCTGTTGCCCGCGCCCGCACGTAGAATATACCGCAGGATTCCTGTTTTATCCAATGGGAGCATATAATCAGTATAAAACGTATTTTATCACCTAAGTCAGCCCATACGAAATTTCATCAAAATCCGTTCAGTAGTTTCAGCGTGATTGGCGAACAAAAATCTAAACACTCAGACAAAGAAACTTTTACTTTATTTTATAATATTAGTGTTATTAAAGTGATTGAAATATTCTATTTGTTGTAGGTACGATACATGCGTACACAAAACTGACAAATCATCGCTTTGATCATTGATGGTTTTATCATTATCTTGATCAAATTGGTGATAGAGTGAAAATGCGTGGTGATATATTGTGAGATCTTTGATTCGAAAGCAGAAGTAGGAGCAACTATACTCATATTGTTCCACAGTCATCTGAATATTGCTCAATCCTCTTATCAAATCCAGCGTCAAATTGGGAGTAGGTACCTAACTACTGTTAATCAGTAGATAAAGAAAAGCAGGTATAATGACATAACACAACATAACGCCCTTTTTCCCCGAAGGGGTAGCCAGAAGTGCACGTTGCCACTGTACAATGTAACACCCACTTTTCATTATTTATGTTAGGAGTCCCATGTAGTAAGGGGTGAACCTATTGCCATATACCGGGCACACATCCAGATTCCGTGCTACTAAGTATTGATAAAAAATTTAAAAAACCCAGTAATACTTTGCCCGGCCCGGGAACCACTTGGCCAACGAGGCAGGTATCATATTCTTATTATTATTTACCGAGACATTGTTTGTCGGTAAACATAAATTAAGTATATTTTGTGTATAATGACAGTGACCTTTACGCTTCAAACGATAATTAAAATAGATTAATTCCGTCTATCCGTTTACTTAAATTCATTACCGGTACCAAAATATTTGCTTTGTCTTTCTTAATTAAGTTTAATGATGAGATAATCATGACGTTGGTATCTATATCAAATATTTTGTTGATTAGTATATTTATATACAAATGCTATCTTCTACACGCGACTTCGATCGCGTAGAATAGTAAATAGGGTAGTTGCCAGGGTACGAAAATTAACAATTTATTTAGTCCGTCAGTTAGATAATGAAAATACAGATCCGTATTTTTTTATTTACTCGTATAAATATGTTTTTTTATATGAAATGGAGTTAAGTTTAGGAGTGGGAGAGGTCACACGGTATTTTAAATTAATATATCGTAGAAAGTATATAAATTTGTAATAAAAGAAAAATACGTGTATGTATGTATCGCGAGACGATCTCCGGCCACCGTAAGCACGGGCCTGCGGACGGCGAGCACCAGTGACTCGCCGCCCGATCAGAACCAGGCCCGAGCGTACGGCGCGTCGCGTTCCGCGCGCGCCTCAAGGAGCTATCAGACCACCACAGATGGGGCCCAACAGGGCTGATGCCGATACGGAGCCGCGGAAGACTTAACGGATTGCCGGGGCTCCGGCTCGAAGTGCAACGGTAGGAACGGGGTGGTTTTTAATCAGTAAGAGTCTGACACTCCCTCCCGCCTCACCCGGGCGGGAGAAGTCAATGGATGATATATGGCAATAGGCTCACCCCCTATTACATGGGACTCATAACATAAAATAGTGAAAAGTCGTAATGTGCACCGCTACCTATCTCTTCGAGGATGGAAGGCGTGATGTTATGCAGTGTGTTTGAACTAAAAGAAACTATATATAACAGGTTATGGTTTACAGGTGTAGATTTACTGGTCAGCCTACTTTTCTATTTCATGCAATTACTAATACCACCATAGTAAAAACCGTGTATACGAAAAAAATAAAGCAAATAGTAATGACAACGTAAAGTTTTATTAAATCATTTTTACAAACACTTTATAATAAAACATTTTATACACACATTTTTATAATATAGTTTTTTATACAAAACCACAAACAAGGCACCTTAACGAACCTAACGCGAATCATCCAAAACGTTAGGATTTTCTTTGACAGCCATTTTCAACTGTCCTATAAAAAGGTCGTAAGATGATGTCAATCGGAAATTAGCTTTGAACTTTTCGCAATGTTCCAGAAATACTGGGTACAGTTGTTTCAAAATTACATGGTCCAAAGTTGGGAAAAGATGATGAAGAGCGTGATCTCCGAAGAATGTCATGGACCTGAAGAGGCTGTTGTTGATGTCACTACGGTCCATCACTGCCTCGAGCTCATGCATGCCCCAGTCGACTGTTTTACCTCTGTAAACATTAATTTTGTTAGTGGTATATATTATGATGAACCATATAAACTTGATACGTTGAAATAACTATTTTAATCAGAAAATATTTTCTTAAAATATTTTATTAAAGATACACTTGCTATTATTTTATCCAAGACTGAGAAAGTGAAAGAGATCTGTATTTATAGGTAATTTGTTATATTAAGCCGAGCAGTGGATAACCTTGTTTTTTTTTAATCGGAGTAGTTATTCCCGTTTTGAGCACCCATATATATGTTCACCTTAGAAGATAAAATATCATTGGTGCTAAATGTATAGAGTGCCTAAAAAGTAGGTGCTCTAAGTGCTTAAACGTGAATCCTCCAGAAAAGTCATTATAACTAGGTACATTTAATGATACTGATAAGATTACTTTTATCGCAATATTGGTATCAAAAATAAATTCATTGTAACATTTTGGTATAGGCACAATAATATTTAATCGTAAATTTTCTTTAAATAAAGCGTTACAAAAAAAATAAAACCTTTCGCATTTATAAGATTAGAACAATATTTATATTATGGGTAGTATTTTATTTCATAAATTCACTTAAAACGTATTAAAATTTTTATTAGAAGTACAGAAACAGTAAGAACTGAAAAAGAGCTGACATTCAACGTAAGGGACAGATGTGGAGCTCTTTGTTAAATAGTGAACATCTTCCGGTAAATGACGAGGATAATGATGAATCGGGAGCTAATTTAAAATTAAGCCAAATAACTTTTTACAGAAATACACAAAATTTTATACAAGAATTATGAAACTATTACGTCATCATACCTGACTTGATCACCATCTTTGAATATATCGGGATGATGGTGGGCAGCGTTTGTGCCGATAACAAAAATAATTAAACTGGTAGTACAAATTATCCACATCCACATAATCACTGCGTGGTAGAATGAAGAACCACTAGCGAGGCACATCCAAATAGGAAGAAGGAAGCCGATACCATCATGCCATCTGTAGTGACGTGTCAAGAAGTCTTTACGGATGAAAATGCTTGCGAATCTGAAAAAAAAAGTAAAATATTAATGCTGTTTCGAAATGAAATCAGGACTTTTCATTAGCAGTTTTTAGAAAGAATTTTAATTACTTAGTTATATTCGAACCCACAAGACTGTTTTGATGTTATGCTGAATCAAAATGTTGCATTACCTTCTAGAGAAATTGATCAAAGCTATAAACGGATAGAAAATAAGTTCAATGAAGAGTGTGAAGTATACACGACTAGATTTCTTTCTCGGATTCCAGAAGACTATTGGTTCAAAGGCACTAACTTCAAAATCCATTAGAGTATTTGGGTATAAATGATGAGAAAGAGCATGAGATATTCTGAAGTCTCTGTAACAAAGAACATATATTCATTTATGTCTAAAATTAGCAAGATGAAGAAGAAATAGATAAAAAATATTATTAT